CTTTGTTCTGTTAACCCCATTTAATGATAGAAAATAAAATTGGTCGATTTCATTGATTCCTTACGGATAACGGTAATTTGAATTTACCGACTTTTTCAGCAATTCAAAAACCCAGTAAAAAAATACTGACTCCTGTAAAAAAATCATAGTGTGGTATACCGATCCACTTGTCGTCAAGAGGAAACCTGATTCCGATTAGCTGATGAGCGGTAGAAACCATCCGTTTGACTTACACTCAAAATAATCGACACGTTGAAACTACGTGAAAAATCACGTAAGGTCTCTCTTTTTCTACTCTCCTCAGTTTTACGTGACTCACTTAGAATGTATGTGATACCCCTTGAATGTCAAAGGGAATTCCGATTAAGCACACATACTTAATCAATGCAATTTACGTGATTTTCACACACTGTTTCTATGTGCGTTTCACGTAAACCTTATGTGATTTCAACATCTGAAAAAAAAAGAGTTCTACACTCAGAGTGGGGCAAAGTACGACGCCATCGTGATGTGCTTATGTCCGTTATTTTTGTAAAATAATCGCAAGATGTATGTATAAATGTTAATTATTTTTAATGATTATCAAACATACATTGGCTGTTGAACACATCAATTGAAAGACGGCAAACGATCGGGCAGTGAAAAGAAAATCGTCCTATCCCATTGTTCGTATCTCTAGGATTGTTTGGGATACATATCAGATATCATTAAATTTATCATATTTTGTGTTTTTTTTTGAATATGTGCATCAATAAATAAAGGAACATTATCAGATTTCTATACAAAATTGATTTTATCTTATAATAAAATCTGTTGTAAACAACTATAAACAAATGTGATACTGGAATTTATCAGTGAATGCCATTGACAAATTCATGTAACTTCTACGTTATAATCCAATGACGTTTGGGCTCAATAAAATGAGTATCCCTACAAGACAATCACGTAGTTCTTACGTGAAAAGTATGATGGAAAAAATCTACGTATGTTTTCACGTAGCATTCCTTTGGTTTGTTTTTTTTTCCGTCGATCTTGTTTTCCGTGCTGAGCACCAATGCTACCGACGTGCCACGAAGCCAGCTCCCACACCTGGACCCTACCTATCGACCCATCAACTCATGAACCGGGGACCAACGGCTTTACTTCCCATCCGAAGGAAGGCGTGATCAGAGATGTTATGCCTCAGAACATCCCGGCGGCGCCGACTGGGATTGAACCCAGGCCTGCTGGGGTGAGAGGTATTCACGCTTACTACTACACCACCGGCGCCGTTTTTCGCTTAGCATTGACATTATTTTGAGAGTAGGTCTCCATTGAGACACAGCTTGCCAGATTGGTCGTAATGGTTGCTTTAACTTGCTAGTCTCTAATAGTTTCAGTTGAAAAGTATTGTAATCGGGCTGAAATAAATCCAAATAAAAAGTTTATAAATAAAAAAATAAATTAAAAAAGTAGTAGTCAAATGCGTATGACACAATAGAGTTTTGATATTGATGGACACGGGATGGTTTCCGCACAACATGCATTTGGTGCTGATGAACCGAGATCGCTCCAGGCAGCTTCAGAAGTTTACCAACTTCTTTAGCAAAATACAATTGCGTGTGCTCGAAGCGGTACTGGAAGAAGCATTAGATGTTAACTAGATACCACCAAATAATTATCATTGTAACACACACTGTCCAAACGCATTGAATCTGCTTGGGGAAAATCCGACGGTAGTTTGCAAATTTTTTGCGAAGTTTAGCCTTTTTCGGAAACTAGAAAAATCTCACAGTGTTGCACATCCACGATCACGGTTAGGACAAAACATGGCAATGTACTTCATATTCAATAAATGTTATTCGAAATTTAAGGATAAATAGTTCACCAGTTCATTGCGAATGCAGACAACGTAAACAAACAAACTCGTAGCATAGAAACAACTGTAAACCATCGTCTGGAAATGCTTTCGGCAACGTGGGGCTTTAGGTAGCGATAAACGTAACTAGAACTATTCCACAGCCGCAGACAGTAGCAAGCCAAACGCGTTCTCTTTTGCCTGTGAATTTGAGGACAAACCTCAAGTCCCCTCACCCATTAATGTATGAGTGTGCGTTTGATACTGTCGCATTAATGGCCCTTCGCTCAATTGACTACTTGCCGCAAGATTTAACCAATACAACGTTGCTAGTATAGCCGTGTAAAATCGATTTGTTTATTATTTTCAACCACGAAATCAGCTGCCAAAATGTTCAACTTGACAGCGGTTTGTTTTTTATTTTCAACCAGTACAACGCTTGTATTAGTGAAACTGCTCACTAATACTAACGGTGGTAGAGAACTCTGTTCCAACTTCTATTAAATTTTCCGTACTCTAGCGGAACTATCAACCTACCCTCTTCAGAACTTTTTCTAAATTATCGCAGTAAAGCTTCATGTTGATATTAGTATATCATTTCCGACCAACTCTGAAAATCTGAAAATGCCACTAATCGGGGGAAAATGCAGGTAAAATGCACTACAATAAAAGAGCAAGACGCACCATAACGATGAGGCAAAATGCACTCCAAAAATGAGGCAAAATGCACTACAATAATGGGGTAATATGACTCTCATTACCGTCTTATAAATGATGATAACCACTTGAGGTAGAAGAACGTCTTCATTTTTGACAGCTTACAGTTCCGATCGTAGTTGCTCAAAGGTCCATGACTGCTAAATAGGCAAATCGAAGTTGGCACTCGTGGAGAATAGAAGAACTATGAGAGTGATGATGGTTTTAAAATTTTACATGGTGAGGTATACGAGTCATTATTGGGTATTTTGCGTTTACCGTGTAAAGGATAATTATGCCCCGAACGTATACACTAAGATTATTTTACCGAAATCAGTGAAATTTTACCGAAATTTCAGCAGCTGAACGTTCGGTAAACAGTTCGGTGATTTTTCACAGATTAACTTGTAGGGCAACTAGGTATTTTGTTGTAAAATTGTATTTTCGGCTTAAACGAAGGAAGTGCATCTTGCCCCAGCTCACAGTGGGCAAAAATTGACAAAACCGCGACTAAATTGAATATCTCGGTTGACAAACGGTTTCAGTCAACATTTACATATTATTAAAGGAAAAACTCTGCATAATCGATTGGTGGTGGTTTCATTGGCCGGAGGCATTTGCCTTTCGAGATAGAGGGCCGGGATCAACCCGAGGTCCTGGTAAAATAGGGAATGCTACTATCTATCGACATAGGTTATATCTTACTTTAGGCATATTGACGCATAGGAAATTGATAGCACCAGGGCTGGAAAGCACCTCAGAGTATTAGCAAAGCAACTTTGTGCATGTACCTCACAGCACTCGACAAAAAGTGTGTGATTCTGGCACACTCTTTTCCAACTAATCTGTGAGAAAGCGATCCGCACAAAGAGCGGTACACTCCGTGCGGCGCAGGGAGCGAATATAATCCAAACAAGCGCTAATGTCTTCTTTGAATTCTTCTTCTTCATTCCTTTATTTAACGTCGGTCTCTGTTCCGCAATCTAGTGCCAATCACCGACGGACATCGATTGCCAACCATTGACGGCAATCGAATGTGCAGGAAGGCAGCTTCCACACCTGCGTAGGATATCGCACCCATTCAAACACTCATGGGCCGGGACCAACGGCTTTACTTCTAAGACGTGACCAGAGATTTTTATGCCTCAGAAAAATCCCACCGACCTCGGCTGGGATTGAACTTAGACCCATTGGGGTATGAGAAAGCAGTCACGCTTATCACTACACCACCGACGCCGGCTGTCTTCTTTGAATTCTTTGTAGGCTTTACTTACCACGGCTGCATGCACTAGGAGATGAAGAAGGGCATAACAAAGAAGAATTTTGTCTTTTTGCTGTGTTTCTCATTTGCAACCCTACACTGAGTGGCGCTCTTTGCGTCGGAGCCGTCGGAGCGATGGCTACACATTGAGCTTTATTTCTGGGAGTGTGTCTGTCTTCTCTTCTCCGTTGCTTTAAGCTGGGTTTAGACAGGGCACGTCAATTGATCATGTCAGTTGAATTCAACTAACTTGAACGCGAAATGAACGTGTTAACCATGCCATTCAACTGACTTGATCAACTCACTTGAATTGAAAAAAGTTGAACCAGGCTCAACTTTTCAAGCCATTTAAATTCAACTTAATTGATCATTTGACTTGCCTAGTCTAAACCGAGCTTAACACTTGCGCAGGGTGAAAGACAAGCAAACTTTGTGTTTGCTTGATTTTCACTTTGTTTATTTCAGAAAATCAGTACATTGAGCGCAATGAGTGATCAGATGACAGCCCTGAATAGCATTAAGTATATATAGTATAACGACAACACATACGCCCTCAGGGAACCTCTACTGGTCCAATGGAGGATTCGAAACGACCGATAAAGTGACCACATTATTTGAAAAAATCCAGTACTTTGCGATTTTTCCTATGGAATTGATTTAATATGATATTTTGGGATAAAGCAGCCATACCATGGCTACTTCTGGAAATTTTCAGATTAACTGATGAAGTGGCCCGGCACTAAATGAAACTAGCACCATCCGATTCCCTATAATTTTTCACGTAGGATATGCTGATTTTCAGTCGAAAAATTCAGCGGCGTTTGAATACCAATATGAATACCAACTCAAATGATACAGCTTTAGGGTGAAATGGGGTAAAATGGGTCACATCACAGGCTCGGCACAGGATGAAACCTGCACCAATCGATTTATTGGAAAATTTCTGATAAAGAAAATTTCTGTTCTCGTTTGAAATCCAGCGGCGTCTCAACTGTGGGAATTCGGGCTCGTTTTTTTCCCACCGTGCCCTGGTGGGTAACGACCCGTAGATTGAGAAACGCTGTTCTATAGGTCATTCACCATCCAAGCTTCTACCCTAGATTCACAATCCCTCCTGATATTACTAAATATTACTAACTCCGCTCTCTATAGGACTGTTTTATCCGAGGTTTCATCATCAAATGCAATCTGCTCATTTCATTTCAGGTCTCATTAACCGTCCAGCTCTGGGAGTCTTCCCGGGCGAGGATTGGCCAAACAAGCTGCAAAATGTACTGATGTCCGTTGCCCCAAAGGGTTTGGATCATCTGACCACGATGATGTGCGGATCTTGTTCCAATGAAAATGCGTTCAAGAATATCTTCATTTGGTTCGTTCGGATGCTCATAGATGTATAATTTTTTGAATAACACGACTTTTCCCTATGCTATTAGGTATCAGAGAAAACATCGTGGACTGGACACTCCGTTTACCGAAGAGGAAATTTACTCGTGTATGGTCAACCAGGCTCCAGGAGCGCCAACATTGAGCATTATGAGCTTCCATGGCGCCTTCCACGGTCGTACGCTGGGAGTGTTATCGACCACCCACTCCAAGTACATCCACAAAATTGATATCCCGTCGTTCGATTGGCCCATTGCTCCGTTCCCCAAATACAAGTACCCATTGGAGGAAAACGTCCGCGAGAATGCCCAGGAGGATGCCCGCTGCCTGGCGGAAGTTGAGAGTCTGTTTGAAAAGTACGCCAAGAAGGGTATACCGGTAGCGGGAGTGATTATTGAACCGATCCAAAGTGAAGGTGGTGACAACGAAGCCTCGCCGGAGTTCTTCCAAGGGTTGCAGAAGGCAACCAGGAAGAACGGTGCTGCACTGCTGATTGATGAAGTGCAAACGGGTGGTGGTCCTACGGGCAAGATCTGGTGTCATGAACACTTCAATCTGGATGGACCTCCGGATGTTGTGACCTTCAGTAAGAAGATGCAACTGGGAGGATACTTCCATAATCTGGCATTGACACCGGTTCTGCCATACCGTGTGTTCAACACATGGATGGGAGATCCAGGAAAGGTCCTGCTGTTGGAGTCTATCCTGAAGGTAATCAGATCGGAATCGCTGTTGCAGAATGTTGAAAAGACAGGCGCCAAACTGAAGAAGGGATTGCTGCAGGCTCAGAACGATTACCCTCACTTGCTCAACTCTGTCAGAGGCCGGGGAACATTCCTGGCGGTCAATTGCGCTAGTTCAAAGCTGAGGGATAACGCCGTGGCTGCATTGAAGCAAAAAGGTGAGTGAAATTCGATCGATCTTATGATTCAAAATTCAAACGATCATTTTCAGGCATCCTCTCGGGTGGTTGCGGTGACCTGAGCATCCGTTTCCGACCGGCACTGATATTCCAGGAGAAACACGTTGACATTTTCCTGGACAAATTCAACCAGGTCTTGAAGGAGCTTAAGTAAGATTGGTTCGATCTGCCAACACAGCCAACGGATAGTCTAAGGGAAAACCTTAATACGACAGTGAATTGCATTTACGGTACCGTTTGATTGTATTTGCACAAAATGACTAGCGCTACATGCTATGTATGCACATTGATTTACAAGTTTAAAAACACACACACAGATATATTATATGTTATATTGATATACTGAGGTAAATAGGTTTAAAACTTAAAACAATTATACGAGTAATACTCCAAACATTGCCATTGCATAGAAAGTGAGAACATTTGTCTTCCGGAGAATTGTGATTTCCAAAAAACTTGATGTCTAATAAATGTGTGGAAATATAGATGAATGTTGTCGCAAAGTTGGGTTGTTTTCCTTATTTAAAGGGTGGTGAAGAAAACATCAGGAGTTCCCCTGTAAATGATGGCTTGGTACCCATTGACTGTTTTTGGCAAGCAAAATTTGAACGTTAATTTCACTGTAAATTCTCATAAAACCACTTCGCTGAATGTATTCAAACGATGCCTTTGTCTTTCAGTTTCATTATGATTACATTTTTACGACTGAGCAATCCTGTTCCAGATTTTCCTTTAAATGAAATGTATTTGTTGATTTGTAGTTGCCGATAAAAGAACAGCTGGTTAACACGCAGTACAAATGGATAGGTTGCCGACAATAGTCACACTCACCTGAGAAGTTTGGAGCGTTGTATAAGCGCTTTCAAACTGTTTTGGACAATTATGTTGATTGCAATGGATAGTGTAGCATGCAGCAGATAAATGTAAACAAACAAACACGTCATATGTGTGCGTTACGGTGAGAAATTGCTAATCGAAGTGTGGATACTGCTTAGATTGACGAGAATACGTAAATCTCCCTACTATTGACCTCAAACATAAATCAGAGGTTTTTCATCTACATGTGGACTACAGTACCGGACATATGTATACAATATTGTGATTTTTTTTTCTGCAAAAATGTTTAAAGAGCCGTAGTTTTACGAATGTTCAAGAAATATTCTGAAATCTTGAACACAATATTCATTGTGTTTTCTCCTCTTCTCTGGTTGAATATTCCTTTGACTTCCCCTTTGAATTTCTTCACAGAATTCAATTGCAATGATCTCTTAATTCACATTGAATTATTCTCACATTTGCGTAGTAATTATATTTTAATAATATTTTGAATTTTCTTCGCACCTTGAATTCTACTTAGAATTAAATTGAAGCTCTTCTCATTTGAACTCTTCTCAGAACTCCCTTGGAAATCTTCTGAGCATTTACCAGGAATCAAAATACATGGGAAAAAATCCGTTCCGAAATTCGTCAACCTCAAGTCACGAATTTCGGAACAAGTAAATTTTTCGTTTACGAATATACACCAGGAAAAAAATCATGGAATCGTGAACATTATTCCACAAGATAAACGTAACGCATGTGTTACGGTGCACCAGGCACCAGCAATGGTGATAGAAGTCATAGAAACGATGATTTTCAGTTCTGGTAAACTTGATTTAAGTTCATGAGTTGTGCTTGATATCGTGAACCTGTTCTCGAAAACGGGAACATGGTTCATGAGCTTCAAAATGTAAACATTAATATTATTGTCAATGTTTTGACCATGAAATAATCGGAATTGCACTGCCAGTAGTTTACCTAAATCTACCGTTAGGGTTGATGCATATATTATGTCACGCTATCGTTACACCTAGGGATCACCACAGCAGACGGAATCGCAAATCGACCACGTTCTGATTGATGGACGGCACTTCTCCGACATTATCGACGTCAGGACCTATCGTGGCGCTAACATCGACTCTGACCACTACCTGGTGATGGTCAAACTGCGCCCAAAACTTTCCGTCATCAACAATGTACGGTACCGACGCCCGCCACGGTACAACCTAGAGCGACTGAAGCAACCGGATGTCGCCTTAGCATACGCGCAGAATCTCGAGGCAGCGTTGCCAGAGGAGGGCGAACTTGATGTGCCCCTCTAGAGGACTGCTGGAGTACAGTAAAAGCAGTCATCACCGACGCAGTCGAGAACACCATCGGGTACGTGGAAAGAAGTCGACGGAATGAATGGTTCGACGAGGAGTGCAGAGCGATTTTGGAGGAGAAGAACGCAGCGCGGGCGATAATGCAGCAGCATGGAACCCGACAGAACGTGGAACGGTATAAACAGAAGCGGAAACAGCAGACCCGCATCTTTCGGGAGAAAAAACGCCGCCTGGAAGAAGCGGAGTGCGAGGAAATGGAACTGCTGTGCCGTTCCCAAGAAACACGGAAGTTCAACCAGAAGCTCAACGCATCCCGCAACGGCTTCGTGCCGCGAGCCGAAATGTGCAAGGATAAGGACGGGAGTCTCTTGTCGGACGGACGTGAGGTGATTGAAAGGTGGAAGCAGCACTTCGATGCGCACCTGAATGGCGAGGAGAACGTAGGCACGGGAGACCAGCGCAATGGAGGAAACGACTACGTCAGTGCAACAGAGGACAGAACTGACCCAACTCCCGTGCTGAGGGAAGTTAAGGACTCCATTCAGCAGCTCAAAAACAACAAAGCAGCTGATAAGGATGGTATCGCAGCCGAACTCATCAAGATGGGCCCAGAAAAGTTGGCCACCTGCCTGCACCGGATGATAGTCAGGATCTGGGAAACAGAACAGCTACCGGAGGAGTGGAAGGAGGGGGTAATCTGCCCCATTCACAAGAAAGGCGACCATTTGGAATGTGAGAACTTCAGAGCGATTACCATTTTGAATGCCGCCTACAAAGTGCTATCCCAGATCATCTTCCGTCGTCTATCACCTAAAATGACCGAGTTCGTGGGAAGTTATCAAGCCGGCTTCATTGACGGCCGATCGACAACGGACCAGATCTTCACCGTACGGCAAATCCTCCAGAAATGCCGTGAATACCAGGTCCCAACGCATCATTTGTTCGTCGACTTTAAGGCGGCATACGACAGTATCGATCGCACAGAGCTATGGAAAATCATGGACGAGCACGGCTTTCCTGGGAAGCTGATCAGACTGATCAAAGCAACGATGGACGGTGTGCAAAACTGCGTAAGGGTTTCGGGTGAACTATCCAGTTCATTCGAATCTCGCCGGGGACTGCGACAAGGTGACGGACTCTCATGCCTACTCTTCAACATTGCTCTAGAAGGTGTAATGCGACGAGCCGGGCTCAACAGCCGGGGTACGATTTTCACGAAATCCGGTCAATTTGTGTGCTTTGCGGACGACATGGACATTATCGCAAGACATTTGGAACGGTGGCAGAACTATACACCCGCCTGAAACACGAAGCAGCAAAGGTCGAACTGGTGGTGAGTGCGTCAAAAACAAAGTACATGCTAGTAGGCGGAACCGAACATGACAGGATTCGTCTAGGAAGTAATGTCACGATAGACGGGGATGCTTTCGAGGTAGTGGAGGAATTCGTTTACCTTGGATCCTTAATGACGGCTGACAACAATGTGAGTCGTGAAATACGAAGGCGCATCATCAGTGGAAGTCGTGCCTACTACGGGCTCCAGAAGAAACTACGGTTTAAAAAGATTCACCCCCGGACCAAATGTACCATGTACAGAACGCTAATAAGACCGGTGGTCCTCAATGGACACGAGACATGGACTATGCTCGAGGAGGACCTGCAAGCACTCGGAGTTTTCGAGCGACGTGTGCTAAGGACCATCTTCGGCGGTGTGCAGGAGAACGGTGAGTGGCGGCGAAGAATGAACCACGAGCTCGCTGCACTCTACGGCGAACCCAGCATCCAGAAGGTGGCCAAAGCCGGAAGGATGCGGTGGGCAGGGCATGTTGCAAGAATGCCGGACAACAACCCTGCAAAGTTGGTGTTCGCTACTGATCCGGTTGGCACAAGAAGGCGTGGAGCGCAGAGAGCACGATGGGCGGAACAGGTAGAGCGTGATCTAGCGAGCATTGGACATGACTGAGGACATGGAGAGCGCAAACCGAGTATTGTGGCGTACTATTGTTAATTATGTCTTATCTTAAATGTGATGTTGTACAAATAAATGTATGTATGTATGTCACGCTCTAAGGAGGGAGGGGGGGTCTAAGATTTTGTGACAAGCAATGCATTAGGTATAGGAAAAACGTCACGGGGAGGAGGTTATTTTTTGCTCGATTTAGCGTGACATAATTAATGCATTAGCACCACCGAAAAATCTGCAGCTAAAATACGGCGATGAAAGATCAGAACCTGCCAAGGTAGCCATCGATACAGAAGAAAAAGCGGATACACCTTAGTGTGCACTGTAGGACAAAGTCAGTCCCGGGGAAAAAAATCCAGACAACTCTTCAAAGCAGCTAGCGCCCAAATCATCAGCACTGGAGCCGGCTGCACTGTTTACTCCGAAGCTAGACGAAATTGGAGCTGTACCAGTGCCCGTAAACAAGACGATCATTCGCCGTATAAAATATATTGATTGGTGAATTCAGCACTCGTTGGTTTACCAATTCTACTGCCACCGCTCGCTGCTGCCACCGCCGGAATAGTTCATATATCTAGCTGACATGACCTTGCCCTGGGACACCTTGCCCAGCGTTGTCAGATATACCGGTTTATCGGTATTTATACCGATTTCCGAACTAGATACCGATATAGATAAGGTTCCTCAGAATACCGATTTTTGAGATTATATACCGATTTATACCGATTTTTTTTTTAAATTGTTATTGATTGCGCCGCTCGAATTTTGGAGAACATTTTTGTGAGAGACTTGTATCTTCAAAAAAGTCCAGACTTTTGTGTAAGTTTCGATAAATTAAAGACTTCTGTTAAAATTCGAAAACCCGGAAATTTCATAAAAGTCCAGCGAACTCCAGTGAACTTACGGAAACATCATACACAGTGACATTCATAAATATTTTGGAAACTTCACAAGTCCAAAGAACTTCCGGGAAATTTAATGGTTTTCAGGAACTTTAGTGAAGCTCAGAGAATTTCCGAAAACTTCAGCAATGTCTTGAGGAGCTCATGCAAATTTAGGAAACGTAAAGGAAGTTACATGAACATTAGAACATTGTGAGAACATTTTATGGGAGTTCTATGCTTTTTAATGGCAGTGTCGATAACTTTTTTAAATTGAAAAAAAAAGTCGAGGGTCAGAGCTCTTAAGTGATTTCGTAATCTTCAATAAAGTCCAGAGACCTTCAAAGCTGAGTAGAGATATTTCGGTAAACTAATTATAATCAGGGAAGTTCCGAGGATGACCAGAGAACTCCAAAACAGCCGCTAGTTTCAGGAAAATTACATTTCAGGCATTTCAGGAATGTTCCGAAAATTTCGGGGAAATTGCAGAGTCTTCAGGGATGTTTTATGAAAAT